CGGCTGGTCCTCGCCAGCCTTTATTACAACCAGATCCGACTGCTACTGCGTGAGATACCGGAAGTAAAAAACAGAGAGCGCGGACCTCCCAACTGGGAACTGCCTCCTCTTCCCCCCCGCTTCCTGCCCCGCCCTTCGCAGAGAGCGCAGTGGGCGTGGCCACGGTGCGGGGCGGGGCTTCCGGTCTTTCTTCTTCCGGAGAAATGAAGTTGCTTCCAGAAGGCGGGGGAAAATTTGAACTGCAGATGAGCGGTCTTTGATTTCAACTGACCGTTTCTTCGTCCTCCGGCTGCTATAACTTGGGCGAGTAGGCCAAAGCTCTCTTCCTGTACCTCGGCGCTTGTGATTGTTTTCTTTTCTCAAGAAATATCACTTGGTAATTTGTCAACTTCAAGAAACATCCCTGGAGAAACAGTCATGGGCAGGCACGGACGCAGCATTTTAATAAATTAAAGTTGGGGGCAGTTAACTGACCTTTCTACAACTTCTCAGCTCCGAATGCTGTGTGAGTGTAGAATGTTTGGTTCTGATGAGACTTCATCTGTAACTAGATTCTATCGCATTTACATTGGTTAGGAACAGACGTGTGGCTTTTTTGGTCGTTAAACATAGTACAAAACATAGTATTGTACTGGGAGGTGAAAACACTAAAAGAAGTAAAACAGCATTGAGGCTGGAAATATGGCTTGGAGCTGGATTATGGTTTGCTGTGATATACCAGGAACTTTAGACATCATACTGTTTCTTTTGTATGTTTTATTATTTAAATAATCTTTAAAAATTATACCTTAACAGTGCTGTTAAAACAAAACGAAAAGCTTAGCCAGAGAGACTTTTTTCCCAGTTCAGACTTTAAAAATGTCTTCCAACTATGTATCAGCACGTGTTGTTTTCCTGAAATACTAAGTAGATATATCTGATATATACTGTAATTTAAACATGTTGCCATCTAACAAGTATGTAAGCAAGTGATATAAAGCAGTTGATATGGTCTGACATGTGGAAAGTTACCTGTAACAGCCATACCAGGGATGGATTGGAGAAAGAAGAAACTGGGGAAAGGTCTCAGGATTTGAAGGGAGAGCTGATGGCTTGAAATAGAAAAGGAGGAAAGAGAACTGGGTTGGAGAGAAAGGAGCTGTTACAGGTTTATAGAGGAAAGCAGAGTGATAAGTTAAATATTGCTAATATCGGCTACTAACATTGAGATGTCACTAACTCAAATTATAAATTCAAGAGAAGCAAGAATTTTAAAATTCACTTTTTTGTGTGTGTGCTGCCCTGGCTGGTCTTGAACTCCTGGCCTCAAGTGACCCTATTGCCTCGGCCTGCCAAAGCGCTGGAATTATAGCCCTGAGCCTCTGAACATGGCCCTGATTTTTATTTTAAAAGATTTCTCTTGCTGCTGTATGTGGGACTGGACTTAAAAAAACATATGAGAGTGAAAGTGAAAGTTAGGGAATATTACAGATGTCTGCTTTTTGGAAATGATTAAGTTTCATTTTTGTCATATTTTATTTAACAATGGGACAGACATGGGGAAAAGTCTAGCAGACAGCTGACTAAAAGCACTGGAGAAGAGGGTAAGTTTGGAAGTTCTCTAGAGAAAGAAAATAATTAAAGTTGGGTGAATTGCTTCAGGAGAGACCATATGATTGAATAAATACTTATTTCTTGACATGTCCCGCGAAAGATTATACACTATATCATATACAGCTGATTACATGTATTAGAAGGGGGTAAGATTAAGAAACAAAACAAGATGGAATGTAAAAGTGACAAGTGTTTATGGTAAGAAGAGATGAAATGAGGGCTGAGGTTAAGTCTTGAAGAATCCTTGATTTAAAAGAATGGCAAAAAAAATTAAATGCAGTAGAAATAGAGAGGGAAACCATGGCAGCCCAACGTGGTGGAAAGGGGGTGGGCAGGGGAATTGAGATTGCCGCAGAGAAAGGTAGACAACACTGTCAACAGGTTGACCAGATTTAATAGGATGAAGATTGAAGTTATTGTGTGTAAAAGACATTGGTGGCCATTGTGAAACAACATCAATACGGAGGTAGAGGGAGAGGCTGGATTGCCGAGGTCTGAAGACTGATAGGAGAGAAAGTGGGCAATGAGTTGGATGCTAGAGAGATCTATTGGTAGAGAATAGGGATAAAGTGGAGAAATCATTAGTTATGGGAAGGTATTTTTTTTTTCCTGCTGGTTGAAACTCGACCATCTGAGTAGAATGGGATAATGCAGAATGGAATGTAGTTAGGGTTAGAAAAGAATAAAAACATTTCATAAGATTAGTTGAGCGCCTATAAGGTGATATCCACAATGCTAGGCACTGTCCTATTTGTTTTCTCATTTAATCCACACAGTGTTCCTTCTACTACCTGTATATTACAAATGAGGAAACAGCCACCTGAGCTGTACAGCTAGTGAATGCTAGAGTATGAACGAAACCCACTTTCCAATATGAAAAGTGTAGGTGAAGAGTCATTGTGGAAGGAGAGAAGAGGAAATTGAATGCAGTGAAATGAGAACGAATCTAAAACTAGGAGATGAACTTGCTCAGTACTGATAAGGAAGGACTTCCTTAGTCTAGGGTAGGGATCAGATTCTAGGTATTTGGATTTCTTTTTTAGCATTCTTTTCCCTTAGACCTAATAGTTACTTTTGGCCTGCCTTTTGCGTGTATTATTGATGATTTGCTGCATTCTTATTGCAAAAGTGAAATTTGCTTGTTATTTGAAATGAGATACTGAGTATGTAAGTTAAATTAAGGAGAAGTGAAGCTACTGAAATTATAAAGGCAGATAAACCATTCTGGGCTTTTTCCTCTAGATTATGTTCCTATATTGGAGTAAAGTCCTGGGGGTTATTAATTAAGGCATTTTGTTGAGGCTATTAATTTCAGATCATTTAAATGTCTATAGTAAGATTATATAGTAAGAAAAGATACTTTTCCTTGAGCAAAAGTAAATGCAATAGCATTGTTTTGATTATGTTCTAAGAAAGTACATCCATTCATTTTGATAAAATTTTTCTCTATAAGAAAGCTTTTTGCTGTTGTGTTTCCTATTTTGTTTAGTCTTTGTCTTGGAAGGATATCTTATCCTGCCTTAATAATGACAGCCGAAGTGCGAATGGTACTTTATGAAGATGATTCAGTGCAAGTACAATATGCTGATGGTTCCAACTTGCAACTTTCTCCCTGTGGCTCTGAATTTTTATTTGAGAAGTCACCTCCTGTTTCAGCACATCCTTTAGAACAACCCGAAAGGATTCGTCAAAGGACACACTTTGTTATTAGCACTTACCGAGTAAGTAGTCACAAAAACTACTCTTTTTAATACCAAAATATCTTCAAGGTGGGCTACAATATGAAAAGTAATTGGTATTCTGGATTATACTGTACCATCATTCTAAATTGATTTTTTCAAATCTTTTTACATTTTTTAAGATTACATTTTATATTTCTGTTTATAGACACGACTACAGCGAGCTCTAGATTTTCGAAATTCTTCGGCTACTCACCCTTTTTTATCTGAAAACATCATACCTTCTGAAAGAAAAAAGGTGATTTTTTTTTAAAACTTCATTTTTGTAAGTATTAATATTTGAGGATACATAATTACAAACTGGTAGTTTAATGCATAGGCCTGTATATTTCACCAGACTGAGAAACATAAAAGTTACACAGTTCTTTCTCCCTGCCATTTTCCTTGCAGTCAGGAATTATGATCAGAATTTTTCAGGTTGGTTACTTTTTCATTCTCAGAGATGTCAAAATGAAGAAGTTATCTGGCTGTTTTTTTAGTAACTTATATGTACTTATTTGTTAATATGTGGTAGAGATGTATTTTACATATGGATATACAAATTTTATTATTTTGGTTGTATTTTATTTTGGACTTTTAAGAATAATAACTCATTTACCGAGAGTTTACTGTGTCCAAGAACTAGGAATTATATTAGAAACATTTAAAAACACCAGTATGGCATGGGTACCTACTGATCAAAATGGATGTCCAACCAATCAGAACAGCTATATTGGCTGGATAGCAAGCCCTTTTTATTGGTAAGGAAGCCTATGTCTTAGAGAGTTTACCTAATTTATCTATAGAAATTTTCTAAGAGGCAGAGTCAGGATTTGAACCTAGTCTATCTGATTATGAAGACTGTCATTTACTTTCTGCTTTCTATGGTGTCATGATACTTGCCTGCCTACTGAGTAATTTTCTATTACCTTGCGGGAAAAGAGCCATAAAAAGTTGTAAGGTATAACTTAGTCTAGAAGGTTCTTTTTCCATTATTTCTTTTGAGTAACTTTATTCACTGAAACTGTATAATTTACTGCTGATGTTGCAGTAAGATTTTTAGACAATTCAATTCTAGAAAGTTCTAGTAAGAACTTTAACTGACCATCTTTACAAACCAGTTGTGCCATCATTTGATACTGCTCTTAATTTTAACATCCTGACATCTGTGCACATAGGTAGCACTGAGGCTTTCTTGATGACAGTTTTTGTAAATTTAAGATTTTACATAAGTGGAAGTTGAAATGTTAAACTCTTGACAAAATTAACTTAATAGTACCTACTATTTATATAAAAAGACACAACCAGCACTTGTTAACTTGTTTCTTGTCTATTTGCTATTGGTCAGGGATCAGTTTTTCTTTGAGCAACTCACCTTTATAAAATGTTATTCTTCAAGCCACTTGGAATTTAGTTTAGTGTTTGGGGTGTCAGGTACAATCTAGAATAGGTACTTTATACATGTGATAAACCTCTGAGGCAGCATTTCCCAAATGCCATTCAGTAATCCCAGCACCATTTATTAAGTAATTCTTTCTTTTGTCCCTTGCTTGGAAAAGCTTATGTTATCATATATAACACTTTAAGGTATGATTGAATCTGTTTTTGTATTTTCTGAGTGGTTCTGTCAGTGATTTATTTTGTGCTCTTCCCATACCATTTATATATTTTTATTTTTTAGCTGTGATGACTTTTCAGCATCATTGAGCTTCTCTTCCCTCATTTCTGTTCTTTTTCAGAGTAGGCATTTTAGGGGGCAGGTAGTACAAATTTATCTCTGATTCAGTACATTTTAAACCAAAATATGTTTAACACTAAATATAATCATGGTATTTGTTTTTCTTCTCTATTTTGCGTGTGTGTTTTATATCTCTTTTTTAAAGAACGATCACAATATCAAATCTAATCTGGAAAACCATATACAAAGTATAGGCTGACATCTGGTTTTTCATTTTTCATTCTTTCTGGGTAGTGAAAATACAAATATTTAAGAGTTTTAGTACACAATACTTAGGTATTGAATGTATGGAAAAAT